GTAACTTTATTTTTGTCTTTTTTTTTTGTTTAATAATAATATATAGTTATCTCCTGTATAATAATAATTGGCAATCCCGTCATGTTGTGCATGCACCCTTAGGGTCATAATCTGTTCAATACTATTAATGTTTAAGAAATATTCTCTATGTGATTGTGACCTGTTGTGTTTGCCTTAATAAATAAATAAATAACATAATATAGTAACGAAATTTGTAATAAATAAATGAACCTTTAGATGATTGAGTACTGTTTTTATTTGTAGTAAATATACAAACATTTTACATGTTAAAAAATGAAGGAACAATCATTTTAAAAGCTGTACAATTTTATATTGTGCAATAATACAAAGTAATTAGAGTGATGACTTTGGGATACTTTTACGAGTTATAACATTTGTAAGGTAAAATTTATTTTCATTTTCGCTCCGCTCATTTTCAGTATCCTGCATGATTTAAATACATAAGATCGAAATACATTTGAATATTTTTTTTAATTAATTTGTGTGTATACATTCAGTCCAGATGTAGTTATTTTATTAGAAAACAAAAGATTAATTGAAGGATATATTAAAAGCACTACATACTTAATACTTTGTTTTAATTTATGATTTTCTATTTAATCTCTCCTATGTACATTAAATACTCGTGATAGAATATTATTAATCAAATATAAAACAAACAAGTTTGTTTTTATTTCCTAAATGGTAAATAAATTCAGCCACAATATAGTTATTTTATTAAAAAACATAAGTTTAATTGAAGGTAACATTTCAAGCATTATTTACTTAATAGTTTGTTTTGACTTATTGATATTTATTTCATATTTTATTTAACATATTTTACTAAACTATGCGTGTTTGAATCTCTCCAATCTACTTGGATACTTCAGACAGAATATTAAACATTATTGTTGTTATTTTTAATGGTCTTAAAATACATACTGACTTTAAAACTTTCCTTGATCGTTTACAACAATTTACTCTTATGATACCTGTCGAAGATACATCGTATTTGTTTAAGCCTTATTTTAATTCACATATAACATTGTATTTCAGAATAGCTTAAAAGACCAGATATTATTAAAATGATTTTCCTTAATTATAAAATTCTTAATACCAAAAGTTGTCGGAACGGGGATTTGAAATTGGTTTGTTATTTATATGTGTTTATTTTACTTCTTTTAAAAATGTAATAATTAAATGAATTAAAATATAAGAAGCTTAATGACTTTTCAAAATAAGTAAAAAGAATTGATTGAATATTGACAAATTACTGTTGCAGATTGAAACACATATGTGTTTGAAGTTAGCTCATTTGAAACGAACGAGAATCAATACGCAAAAACACAAAAAAAAAAAAATGCCGTGTTTTATTTTTCAATTGTCTGTTTTAATACTATCACGCAGCCACTCACTGCTTGTCATCAATACACTGCGTCATTTTGATAGCTCGATCATTTTATTAGCATATTCCACTTACTAATACGCTTGGGTATACAAGATGCAATATAGAGTTTCACAAAAAGTAGAAAACGTTTGGCGTCTAAACTAAAACGATACAATACAGATGATTATTTACTTTGTTGAGTAAATAATAAAACAGTGAATTACATAATTATAAGGAGAATTAAAGGCGTGTCAAGACAAAAAAAAGTATATATTATGATAGTTAACTCAAGTTAACTATAATAATAATATATACTTTTTCTTTAACTAAAGTATGCACTATCTAAGTCAGTGGTGACCTACTGGTTAAAAGGTCCGCCTCTCATGCAGGAGGGCGCGAGTTCGATTCTGACAAGTAGCAATGTTGTTTTTTCGAGTCCTATGAACTTTTTCAGAGTATTTAGACACCACTGACAGACAGTGAAGGAAAACATCATGACGAAACCTGGACTTATAATTTCACAATTATTAGTTTGAAATCACCAACTCGTCTTGAGCAAGCGTGGTGATTAATGCTCAGACCTTCTTCATGTGAGAAAGAGGGGTTTGCCAAGCAGTGCGTTCTTCAAAATAAAAACTATAGTCATTTCAACACATTTCAATATACATCTAAATGTATTGTATTTTAAAATATAATTGTATAGATATTTGTTATGTGATAACTTAGTTATTTCAAGTTTTGATCTACTGAATACGATCATAATTGATTGAGAATATCAGCTATGTATTAACGGGACCCAAAATATACATGACATGTACGAGCTGAAGTAATCAATATGTTATTATTTCAATAAGTAAAATCTTGATGACGAACCTGTATAATTGAGATATCACGAGAAGGAGCTAAGATATCATCTCAACAACAGCGACGAAATGACAAAACTAGTTACTATGCACTAATTTCAATATTAAATGAGTTTCTCTTTACGGTTGTTACAAAAATTAGTTATTGAATTTTAAAAATAATTTCTCTTTAAACAACATCAATATTTTCTAAAATATTTGCAAGAATATTTGAAAGAAACATGATTCTTATAAGCCAAATTCTGGCAATTTAAAATTATCCTAGCCATTAATGCTCACTATGAATATATTTTTGGAGAAGAAAAATTTTTTCATCGGTTTGATTTATATGTCGTCATTCTAAGAATGTACTTCAAATGCAGCCCTAGTAGGTTCTTATCAAATTTGGTTAGATAGAGAGAGGAGCTTGGACGGTGGAGGTGAGCGTTTAACGCGCGTTAGATAAGGGGCCCCTTAAGATAACACCTGGGTCGCAAGTCCCAGGTTGAAGTTTCTTTCCCTGTAACGTGCACCCACACTGTGAGTCCATGGAACGCTGAGAAGTTTCGTCTCATCCTGTGTTTATTTTAGATATATATCCACAAACTACTGTTCTACTTACCTTCGTTATATGAAATTAAGTTAAAAATAAGAGAAACACGAACTAATTTTAATCAGATGTTCTATAAATTAAAACAGTTTGATATCAATTTTCCGAATAGATTACTTAAAAATAATATATTAGATGTCCTTAAGATAAATGTCTATTGGTCCGCCTCTCCGTTTATTGATAAGAGATTGCAATATGGTTGTACATACACAATAAATAATAAATGTAACCTAAACAAACTAGTGAAAAGGCTTTAATATAATGATAACGAACAGTTAATAAAAACCTTCAATGACTTAATGACAATTAAGTTTCAGCTTTTTATTTGTAAATAATAACTGGAAATTCAAAGAATAATGTACTTGTCAATTAAAAAAATATATTTATTAATAGATTTAATGGTAGAGTTAAAGTAATAGTCATAAAGCTTTCTCAAGCCTTTATAATATATTGTAATAGAATATCGCTATTAAACTAAACTATGTATTTTTAAAACAGTATACCTCTTGAATATTAGTACATGAAGGATAGTTCCGTACGAACGGTGAAAAACTTAAACAATATTATGATTTGAATAACAAAATAAAAGAATTTTGAAAAATATTTTTACGTGAAAATTTTAATGCATGTTTAAATAATAAAACAGAATATGCAAACAATTATAGTATCTATAAGAAAAATTCTAATCATCGATATTAATTGAATTTCTCTAAAGACAAATCGTCAAAGCGATTGCGATATATTATTATAACTTCACTGACAAATGACTATAAAAGGCTTCACAAAGTGCGTTAATGAAACTTAAGTATAACATTATCGTAATTTGCCCAGTTATATAAAACTTAACTATTGAAGTTATTATTTATAAGTTGTTTTGTAAATGGCTAATAGTGGTGTTTTATTATTTCTTTACACACGACACTCTCGTAAGGAAACTTGGACTTAAACCAAAAACAGTTCCCAATATATCTTGACTGAAATTAGTAATTTTAAAATTTTTCATTTTGATTCAAACTAAATACTAATAAAACTTGAAATAATATCAAAATCAGTGAGTACCACAAGATTCATTATAAAGAATGTGCGATTTAAATAGACGCTGTAAAAATAGCTTTGTCTTTTTAAAATTGTGAGGTTTTATATATCGGATTTAGAATATATATATACCGAACCGTAGAACCGATATATACATTTTACGTTTTCAATATACTATACGAAATAATGTCAAAATGGTCTGTGTTTATAATAATGAATTTCAAATAAACTAATTTATATTTTTACATGTAATAAATAGACAAAAATCCATCCATCCAAGTCATATTTGTGATAATAGAAATAATTAAAAATATAGCTCGCGTTATTACAACGCAATAAAAGAATCCAAAAGTTTTAAACGTACTAATAAATGTAGATAGATATATTCAAAACTTTGAACGTAAATTTATGCTAAAAACGTGGCCTTTATAATTCAGAGAGGTAGCGAATTGTAGGTCATAAAATGAACCTTGATTCTAACTTTACTATACAGTAATACCCCGCGTGATTAAGCTTTAAAATATTTCATAGTTGAATTTTCCTGTAATAATTTGGTTGTGATGTTTTTTAAAAGGTTCCTAAGAAAAACCTCGTTGATCATAAATTTATAGTTTTAATTTTTACTTTCCTTTTTATATATCGCCTTTGGTATTTTAAATTATATTAAATTATTTACATCTGCTACCAACAGCTATTTATCAACGTCTGTTATAAAATGCCTATTAACGCTAGTTTTAAGTGAAATAGTTCGGTTTAAGCAATGGGGAAGGAAACTTTGACAAATTATTCTCAGTCTGAAGTCTGAAATTGATACATTTGGCAAAGTTTTGACACGTTTTATAACAGAATATGTTATAGGAAGTTAGATGTAGATTTTGCTTTTACCATCTTTCATTTGTATTTTTTATTGAAATAGAAACGAAAAAGTTTACTTCGACTTATAATTTCCGTTCCAATGGTAACTCTTTTACGTCTTGGATTGTATTCATAATTATTATATTGTGACTAAACAGATTAAGATTATAAGGTTCAAAGTCCTCGTACTTGGTATATTTTTCTCTTTTCACATTTGTATACTTTTTATTTTTTTAGTATATATTTAAAGTTTCTAATTAATGTAATGAGATCAAGGTACGAGTATCTTAATCAACTTACTCGGTGGATATTGATGATAATTGACTGTAGTGTAATGAGCGAAGGGTGATGCAGCCAACAGAGACAACACCCACAGAGAGAGTACTATCCGTAAGGCTCGCCGCAGACCGGCCACAGCGTATATGTGTAAGGGGTGACAGATGGCCAGGTAGCGTTCGAGAGTGAACGCTACTATAGTCAACACAGACACGTACGATGCTCTGTAACAAACGAGACTTCAAAGCGATGAAACAACACATTTGTTTATACAAATATTACATACTATGAATATAATAAGGAACTTCGTTCCAATATACATTTTTAAACACTTATGTAATACAAGTATGTAAATAAGGAATTTAGCACATGAATTGGACTGAATATAAAAATATTAATAAAAGTTGTCTTTCCAAAGAAAACAGAGATAAGAAGATGAGATGAAATTTTGATTAATAAACGATAAAAATTTAAAAGATGACTTCCATCTCATCTACCTAACAACTTCATTTTAAATTATATGCACTTCGTATAACGTGTTTTTACATAAAAGAAATGGTACACTTAAACTTGAATGAAAGCTAAAAATAATATAAAGAATGAAAAATATTTCGGTACGCACAGGATTCTTGCTTAATAGATGTTTAATATGCAGCATTGTGAAAGAAAATGATAAGTGATAGCCACACAAAATTCTTATTGAAGGTATAAAAAAATTACGTATACTGAAATAACTCAATATAAAATAAAACTTCATTATATACATAATATGTTAATGAAATAACGAAACTTTAGTCCTGATATGTAAAATAAAATAAATACATACTTGATTTTAATTTTATTTTAATTTTATTATTTTGTATATTTATTAAAGCTTATGTATAAAAATCAGTTTCAAAAATTAGGCTAATTCAATATTTCTAACTAATTTAATTGTATTCTAGATAGACTTTATATAAAAGGTAGATTTAAACTGTTTTCAGGCAGTACTTGACCTTTTATAAGTGTACTCGTATATCAGAACTTTATAGAAATAACGAAATTTTGTGTTTGTCTTGTAACACTAATAATTATAATAAATCAAGCCTGAAAAACTGCTAACCATGCATTCACAGTTTTAAGTTTGTAAAAAAAAACAATCTTCTTACAAATGAAAATATTTATAAATTAATATTACATTCTATACAAAAATATATATATAGTTCCATGTCATCAAAGCTCACCTGCCAATTTAGTTTGACTCGTTTCACAAAGACCCTCTTTATTATGACCGCTAGTTTTAAATTTGGCTTATCTTATATGTAGATGGAAAAGATTGGCATGCCTTCAAAACCGATAAAACGTGGACAACATAAAAGAAGGAGAAAGTAGGAAGGCAATGCTTTTTATAAAATGAATAACTCTTTGTTACAGAATCATTGAATGATCATTCTTCTCAGGCCCTAAATGTTGTTTTTTAAATAATCAAACTTCTAAAACCAGCTAATTTCCAAAATGCCTTAAGCACCATGTTATTTAAACAATAAGAGAATTTACTAAATAGTAAGTAATACTTATGACTGACTTTTTCTAAGATGAACCCGAAAAAATGGTGCTATTATTCTAACTGATATCTTAGTTAAGACGTTATATAGTTGATTATATAAAGAAACGATTCATTTATTATAATGTGACTGAACTAGTACTAGGAACTTTCTCAATAATAAAATATCTTAAGCATTTATTTCGATCAAACTTTTAATAAATGGACGTGATCACGAAGTTACAGAAACATAATTATTATAAGAAACAAGTTTGTGTCAAGAATTTATTAAAAAACAACCCTATTGTTGTAGATAGAGTATTACTGTCAGCCCTGCGACTTTTGCAGTGTGATCGAAGGAATATTACTTTATTAATTAAATATGTACATACGCTTCAGAGATGAGAGCCTTCAGCTTACAGAAGACCACGCCGAGACTGTTTGGATACTGGTGCCAGTACACTGATAGGTCGTTAGGAAGACCTGTGAAAAAGAAAAGAGTTATATTAGGTTTTTTTAAATGAATTTTAATATTCCTATATAAAAAAGTAACATTTAATTTAAATGAGACTTATATTAGGTTGGTGCGTATGAAATGTCGGATTCTTAAGTGATTGTATAAAACTGCATATCTTTCTTCAAAAGCTGTTTATTCAATTAAAGTACGCTCCATTTGCTTCAATACACTTCTCCCAACGAGATTTTAAAGCGTAGATGCCTGTCTTAAAAAAATTTGGTCTTTAGAATTAATAAACTCTGATATCGAGTTTTTTAGACTGTCTTCATTTTCATAGTGTTTGCCCCTTAAAAACAGCTCTAAATGCTTGAAAAAATGAAAATCTGTCGGCGAGAGATCCGGTGAATATGGTGGATGCTGCAAAACTTCATATTCTAGTTTGTTCAGTTTCACAATTGTTTTGTGCGATGTATGCAGCCGAGCGATGACCCACTTGTCCATCTTCTTAACCTTGCCAATCTCAGAAAGGTGTCTCAATATCGTTGTATGGTCAACTTTCATCCTGATAGCAAGTTCCCTCGTGGATACGGCTGGATCCGCTTCCACTAGAGCCTTCAGGTCGTCATTCTTCACAGACGTTTTGGGTTTTCCGCACTGCTCATCTTGCAGTGAAAAATCGCCAGTCCAAAATTTTTCGAACCAACGCTGCACTTTCCGACCGTTAACCATATTGTTCCCAAACGCTTGGTTTATGTTGCGTGCAGCTATTGCAGTACTGTTATCAAGTTTGTACTCATATATGAAAATGACGCCAATGTTGGCAGAATTCATATCGGCAATAAACTCAAAAGAAATAACAAAAGAGAAGACCTTCGAGAAAACCTATTTTGCTGAAATGAGTCTTTGGCAATGGACAATACTACTATGAATGAGGTTATGCCAAAGACAAAAGTATAACGAAAACAGGGAGACAAACGTCCGCATGTAAAGAGAATGCGACATTTCATACGCACCGACCTAATATTATATTTTTCGGTTATACTACGTGGGCTTTATTTTTGTAATAAACTACATGCTCCTGACGTTTCGGTTACTTTTAAGTAACCGTGAACCGTGACAAGTAACCAAACATCGGGAATATGTTGCTTTTTTACAAAAATAAAGAACGCATAATATATCCAAAAAATATTGGTTTCATTTAAATGAATAAAACTCGCGAAAGTGTTAGCTCTCATTAAATAGCATTTCAGTTGCGGTGTTATCCTTCACCGTCTGTTAGTGGTGTCTAAATACTCTTAGAAAGTACATATGGCTCGGAAAAATCACATTGGTACTTGCCAGGATCGAAACCTCGCCCTCGGCAACGAGAGGCGCGCCCTTTAACCACTAGGCCACCACTAACTTATATACATTATAAAATCCGTATAATTTGAATTTATTTTAAAAACTTGATCATATTTTGACTGACAGTTGAAGCGAGTGCAATCGAAAATTTTATTTTCAAAGAAGCCAAAGGTTTTCAAATTATACGTCATAATAGAAATATTTGATTCAATTCAACTAAATTGGTGGAAATCACATGATTTATTTAATTTAACAATAAATAGATCGTTTCTCAATGAATAACTTTCTGTCAATAATATTTAATTGTCATAGTAAACGTTGCGTATTTTGTATTAAAATTCAATTATACAGGGTGACTGGTGAATTACTATCAATATTTAAGGAGTATACTCGGTACATGATTCTCATTCGAATTATGTAAAAAAAATAGGTACTTAATTTTTGATCAAATTTCTGTATAAATAAATAAAGTGTGTACACGTTCCAAGTGTTCCAAGTGTGGACGCGTGCGGCGGCGTGCTAATACAACACTACGCCGCCGCCGCGTCTGTGTGAGTGTGTGTGTATACCTAATCTGTAGGGTGTTCATACGATGCGTAATTAATTACATAACTTTTGGTTAATTTTACTTAGAAGTTTATTAATATTTATGTTATATTAATTTTTATTTTGTCATATATGATCGTCAAATATCACGTCCTTAAATATCGATAGTAATTCACCAGTCACCCTGTATAAAGTTATTTAAGCAAATGAATTGCATAGCCGAAATTTCTTACTTTCATTTAAAACTGTATTTTGGCTGTCCTTTAATAAAATATAAAATTTTACCTTTTATACACCTGGGGCATTGAAAATTATTGTTATACTAAGAAAAAATACTATTCAGATTAACTAATCTTTATGACACATTCTAATTACCTTGTGATTTTTTAATAGATTATTTTAATCTAATCTCACTAATTATTATTTAGCTATTGTCTATTAATAATAATATTTTTTTTAATAAATAATTTAATTCTTGCTAATGACTCATTAAAATCGGTTTAGCTATTTCAGAGATAAGCTGAAACAAACAGGCGGAGAAAAATTTTAAAATTTGTATCCATGCTTCGTTAAGTAAAAGTACCAATTGAAAAATCTCAAATAGATTCCAATTTATCTCTTTATATAAATGAGATTATATAAAGAGATAAATTGTGTGTATGGGTGTGTTTTATTTCAATATAAACATCCTTATGTACGTTTTATAAATTTCCTATGATTGCTTATTTCAAGTCCAATATTACTGACACAATATATCAATATTCAGATTGAACAAAAACAATGTGCTACTTCTACTAACACTTATCTAACTGTATATTATTTTCAAAGAAGAATCAGGTTGCTTTGAATACCAACATGTATATATGTAACTAGCTTCCACCCGCGGCTTCGCCGCCGTGGAGTTTTTATAAAAAGTAGCTTATGTTCTTTTTCAGATTTCAGACTATCCATATCCAATTTTATATACTTTCACACAAAGATAGACACGTGATGTTAATTATTTTATTATGGGAAGATATTAATTTAGTTCGTCTAATTAATCTAGACTAACCAACCACTAAACCATTACAAAACGTGATTTACGTGATAGCTTTTGAACCATGAAATTGAATTTACCGTGAACTATTTGACTGGATATATTTATGTCTAATTAATAAACTATTTATGCCAGCTTGCTTTTTCTCCTTGGAAAAGTATTTTTAATTTAATAAATTAAAGTTCGTCAAATGCAATCCAGCCGTTGCAGAGTTTAATTGGAATAAAAAAATGATCGGAAACAAGAAAGTGTAAAAAAAATAAAATTCAATATAAAATTGAAGTTCCCTCGAATTATTTTATAGTAATTTGATACTGCTATTAATTATATATTGTACAACTACAACTTCTCTTTTGGGCCATTAATAGTCAGTTTCTCTTAAAAGTAATAAATATCGTAAAGACAGAATATTTTGTGAAACGATTTGATGTTTCGATAACATTACTTCTATTTAACTACTGTTAACAAATGTGTTTACTTCTAACTTATTATTAAATGATATATGTAGATGCATGATATTCTTATAAAAAGTGTTCAGTGGAGTCGTTATACTTTCAAATGGTATTTTTAATTTCACGTTGCTTTTTGTATCAAATTCTAATTTAACATAACTTGTTCAGAGTTAGCTTATATCAGGAACAATACGAGTATGTATTTATTGTTTAGAATGACTTGCAAACATGAGGCTGAAATGGATTTAAGTGGAAATTACTGTTCCCTGATCTAATTTGAGTTTTATTACACTACTAAGTTGGTGTATAGTATATACTACATATATACTACCTTCTGCCAGCGAAATTGTCTGCGTGACTTTCAAAATTAGAAATGTATACCTTATCGGGCGAATTTTATTCCTCCTTAAAGGTAGTAAATTAGAAAATTTAGGATTTAATCATTTCTTTTTAATTGCATGAAAAGATTTCTATGTCCTTTTCCTGGTTCTAAATATCTCTCCACGAATTTTCAATATAACCCTGCAAGCCGTTCTTGAGTTATAGATAGTGTAACTACCACGAGTTTCTTATATAAAGATTTATAAGTAGTCATGATATTACTGTAATGTATTGGGCCAGATACTAGTTAGTAATAAATACTTAATCAAATCTCTTAAATTATAAGAAATCATTCATTATAAGAAAAAAGAAAAATAAAAAAATGAAAGCGATGGTATTTAATAGCAATAGCTTCAAATGGATGTATGTATATGGATCATAGTCATTAGTCAGATTTATATGACACATTCTATTTTAAGAGAGAAAACAGTGTCAACATATAACATATATATAAAAAAGATTTTTTTTAATGCAAAAAAACTAAAGTTATACTATGTTTTACATAAAAGGGTAAATTATTAAATTGACTGAAATATTATTAAAATATCATAAGTTTTTTGATATATTATGATATGTGATGACACCCAACTTAAGACACAGCCTTACTTTTAGTTATAATTTAATCACTGTTTTATTATTTACTCAACAAAGTCAATAATCGTCTGTATTGTATCGTTTTAGTTTAGACACCAAACGTTTTCTACTTTTTGTGAAACTCTACATTGCATCTTGTATACCCAAGCGTATTGGAAAGTGGAATATGCTAATAAAATGGATCGAGCTATCAAAATGACGCAGTGTTTTGACGACAAGCAGCGAGTGGCTGAGTAATAGTATGAAACATAAATGAATTGAAATTAGTTAATTAAACACTTTATTCTTAAGACTGCTTTTTCTTGTTACGCTTCATCAGCAGTTCATGAGATAAATGTCCCATAGTTTTAAGGACAATAAAGACCTATCAGTAAAAAGTTTTCGTTGCTCATAATTCCAAAATAATTGATAGGTAATTACAGTTATGTAAGTTGGAAAAAGATTTACATAGGATTGTTTTAACAAAACTCACTATATTCTTAGTCAAATAAATTTTTCATAACCATTAAATACCAAATAATTAAATGTATTATGAATCAAATTTGTTTTATTTAACTGTATTACGATTTTCTTTACTTATAACCTCACAAAAGAAATGACAATATATTTAATTTAATCTTGTTTTCAATATATTTCAAGAGGCCAGTTATAAATATTACTGATTCGACGATGTTTGTATCTGAAAGCCAAGGAATGATAATATTATTTTCGACGGGGTTGTATCCCTCTACAACGTGTTTGTGACTTTTGACATTTTGTCAGTTTTGACGGAAAATTTTTTAGAGATTTAGCGCTAAAAAGCTGTCTCATTAAAATACTCTAACCAGAAAAAAGGTGTTTTTAAACCGCCCGATGTGTAAATAAGGCTTTATTTACTTTTGTGTTTTATGTGTCTGTATCTGGCTTTATAAGATGGACACAAAAGTATTTGTTATTGTATTTATATGGTGACTGCGGTAATTATATTCGATTCCTAATATTGTATAGGTTAATGTTTTTTAAGTTTGGACGTTGGACAATCTCCATAGAACATACAATTTATCTTAAGCTCTTTACATCAACATCAATGTTAATCTTTATGGTATTATCATTGTATATATACATATAATTAGCATCTTTCAGTAGTTATATAAATTATAATTTGTATTTTTAAGTGTAAATATTGAAATACTGATTGTTAGTAGCTTTTAAGTTTCGAAACAGTCGATCAGAAAGTTTACTGAATAGCTGTGCTGTTTTCTATATTTCATATTAAAAGGTTCAGGTATAATGTATCGAATGGTGTCATGTTTTGCACTTTTAAAGGAGAAGAGAAGATCTACATCCAAGTTATGATTAAAGAATAAACAAAGTAGATTTGATAAAAGTGACCTCTAAAACATGTGAGGACGTTAAATAAAAATTTAAAATGCCGGTTTACAAAAGACTACTTTTCCTTTCCTTGACATATATTGTTCTAAGTGGACTCTGCATGAAACAAATGAAATGTGTAGTAAAATAAATTAAATAGAACTTAGATAACTAAATCTTTTTACGTATAACCCGATAATGCCTTTATGTAAATTAACTTTTAAATAACATTATTATTATAATAACATTATTAAATATATAAAATTTAAGAAATCTAGAGATGTATCGAGAGCTCCCCTTTGCCATGACCCTGACATCTGATTCTTTTCTGATTCTGAGAGTGTCAAATCTCATACTCTGTAACGAGCGGCATTAGGCGCATTGCTACATCGCTCAATTTATATTCGACTGAACTAATCACTTAAACCTTCGATAGCATCTTTCTCAATTTGTATTTGACACAATCTTTTAAAACCCATCTTAATATTTATGATATTTTTTTTCAATTTAACCTCCACAAATATTATTCTCTCATAGTTATATTTTATTAAACCTAGAAAATGCTCCTGAAAAATACTAGAACGATCCAAATTTATTTTTCGATTGTTGCAAATATCTGTGTATAAATTTTATGAATTCAGTTTTGGGAATTAAAAAGATTTAGATGGTTATACCTAGTAAATAGTACCTGAGGTGTGATCTCGGTGTTGTTTTTTTGCACAAACTCTTTCACAAGCTACACTCAGTAGTGTATTGTCGTGGTACAAAAGCGATTAATTATTTTTCCACAATTCCGCATCATTTTTTCGTATCGCTTCTCGTAAGCGGCACGAGCCTGTAATGTAACATCCTCTAGCGACAATTTGTAACCTCGTGGTAAGAACTTCTTATATATCTAAGAAAAGTAACGAATATCTGGGAAAACAGTGAACAGAAACCTTACATTTGATCTAATTTGTAACTCTTTTTACATTGGGTTGATTTGTCTTTGTTCACTGTTCACACATTTAACAATAAAAATTACCATGAATTAAATTTTTGAAACAAAATTCAATCGGTATTCTTTGATAAATTTTCCTCCTTTCTTTGATAAATTTACTGATACCAGGAAATCGCCAAGCACATCCAAATACGCTTGAAATTTATATCAAAGAGTAACTTAATAGATCATTAACTTGCAACTGTACACAGATGTTTGGGGCATATTTATCAAGACCGCAAAATAAAAATTGATGTTTAAAAAGTCCCCTAACATTTTTAACACTCATCTAATGACTTTGGTAGTACATTATTATTGTAACATTTATAACAAGCAAATAATTATAAACTAAAGTGTTTTGGTCTGTCATAATTATTCATACCAAAAATATAGGACGTATGTCAAATTAATGTGGTTTTTTACGTATGAGACACCATACAAAAGCTTATGTATTTATTTTTCTTTAAAACATAATTAATATAGCAGTCAAATAATACTACATTTTTTTATATAGCTTATTTTCCTCAAATAAAATTCAATCTTAATGGATGAGGGCGCAAACAGCCGAAAACATTGTTAATTTATTGTAATTCTTTTCTTTATACCAACTTAAATAATAAAGAACTTTTCATTTTCATGTATGTATCTGAACTTTATGTTTAGAAAATAATAAATAGAGAGTTTATAAAGAAAAGTCCAAGCTACATTTCAATAAAGATTTTTCAAATAATCATAATACTGTATAAATAAGATTCATGTCCAATTTAAAGATATTACTTTTTAAAATAAAATGACTAATATAATTAAAACAAACCAATTTAAGATCGGTATTGAGTATTATTAAAAATGAATTTAATTTTATACAATGACCTTTCTGTATTAAATAGCTTCAGGACTGTGGAATTGATATAAACATATCACGAAATTTATTATTTTAAATAAATTTAGATGTAGTTGTTAGATATTATAAATTACTTGAACCAACAGCTTAATTTTATCATAATATAACGTCATAGAACATGATAATTATTTCACGAAGGTTTACTAAAGCAAATTATTTAATTTGTAAAAAAAAATTCAGTATTTGGAATAAAGCCATCCATACAAAATTTTATATGAAAACTATCTAAAAAATAAAATAGGAATTATATACTAACTAGTGATTGTAACTTACTTAGTTACTTAATACTACTATTTCTTATTTCTATTTTATTTAATAAGATCAAGAAATTTTACTACTTTAATTAAATGTAATTACTTTAATGAATGTTGGTATTTATATTCAATATTTTCTACGCAAAATACTATCATTTTCCTTTCATTACAGAGACAAGTTTATCAACTTATAAAAATAGATAATATTTTGTGATGAAAGGAAAAGGAAATGATTCTGTCACTTTGGTCATTTTATTACTTAGATTTTTAAAAAATATTTCTGACAAATATTCTATGAAAGGATAAAAAGAAACCAATTTCCTGAGAGTTGAGGCTTTTATTACGTCAAAGAAAACTGTGAAATCTATATAAAAGTGTTGTAAATGTGACAAAACAGAAACAAAATATTTTTATACTATAATTTTTATGCACAGATTCATTAAGAAGAGATCTTAATTTTATTTTCTATCGTCTAAGGATAGAGAAATACGCATATGTTAAAAAGGAGTGTAGAAGGAGTATCCAGAGTAGTGGAAACTTATGACTTTTCTAAGTACATATATTATTCGTCTGATGATGAAGTTGAAACCAATAATAAAATATAGAATGTTCTTTTAAATGAAAGTAATGGTATATATTTAATAAACTTATTTTAAATATTTTCATAATTAAAACTAAAGTTATCCAGAAGTTATTTCAATTCTAAAATATTTCTTATAAATTCTTAAAGTCTATCTTATTATTTTCTCTCAATTTTATAGAAAATCAGTATTGCAGAAAAGATATTTTTGTTGAGAATATTATTTAAATAATGAAGACGACGTGTTTCACACTGAAAAATTTCTAATACATTTACGTTTATAGTTAAATACAAAACAAGTTCAACAAGTCAGTGGTGGCCTAGTGGTTAAAGGGCCCGCCTCTCATGCATGAGAGCGCTGTTTCGATCCTGGCAAGCACCAATATGATTTTTCCAAGTCATTAGTACTTTCAAAGAGCATTTAGATAACACTGACAGACAGGGAAGAAAAACATCGTGAGGAAACCTGGACTTATAATTTCACAATTATAAGTTTGAAATCACCAACCCGTCTTGATCAAGCGTGGTGATTAATGCTCAAACCTCCTCCATGTGAGAAGAGCCCTTTGCCCAGCAGTGGGCTCTGATAGGCTGATGATGATCAACATAAATGGCTTATTTATACTTAACAATTTGTTTCTAAATTAAGTTTACATGCCTAGTACATAAGAAATATTTAGAGTACAGTCATAGTCAAAAATCATATATTGGTATAAACTGATCTGTCTAAACCAAATTGAGCCCACAGCAATGAGATCGTTAATGGATTAAAATGATATTAATATTTTAATATTTTACGAAAGTATGTAAGATGTTTTTTAATATTCGATTTTTATTTATTTACTTTATTGTTGAAAGGAATCACTACATTTGATAAGGAGCTAAAATCTACATGTATTGTGTTAACAAAAGTATGAAATTAGTGAGTAAGTCAAGCAATAATTTAAAAAATCACCGTTCTCGCGGAAAACAGCAGCTGTATAGGACTCTTTTCGTCAAAGTGGTTCACTGTAGCAAGGGTCTAAAACGGTTACATCTATCTATCTATCTACAATATTACAATATTTTCATTCAATTACACGAGCCTTTATTTTACTCCTTACAAACTGTTAAATGTAATTTGTTATTATATATATATTATTTATGGTATGCACATAAACACTTTAATGTGTAGTAAATAAGAAGTGAGGTAATGTATTAAAGAAAGATTATATAACTTTTGTAAACATAAAACCGTATTGAGACCAGTAAGGTTACCCTTATATCAGTGGGAATGATATATCTGACATTTAAATATCCATTATCATCTAATTCATTCAATGAATCGATGCGACATTCTTTTGTTATCACACCAAAATACATTAACTTCTATATTAGTAATTTAACTGAAGAATAATCTAAGTGAAGATCAAGTTTTGGTGTAATCACCATGTAATGAGGTCTAATGGTGACAAATAATAAAATCAAAAGAGGCAAACCTGATCACCAAAACGAGAGAGTACATATATGTTTATATTGAAGTCTGAATTAAAATGGTAACTTAATATTCGAAAAGCGGGAATGAGAAATCAATGGTTCATAATTTATACTTATATTCATTAAACTAATCAAATAATCAAACTAGATAATAGGTAGTAAATACAATCATGTTAATATTTACTCCTTAGAACATATTTTATTTAAATCATTTGCGCGTTTGACTAACACTATAAATGTAACACGGTCAGAAGAGAAAAGTTGGAAGCAAATATGGTGTGTTTAAAGGCGCCAGTGGTTGTGTTTATAGGCGCCAGTCACCTTATTCCTTAAAAAAACTGGTAGTATATGATATATGCTCAAAATAAATTAATATGGTATAAAAGCTTCTTTTAAAGAATTACAGGTAAGCCATTTAAAGTTAGTGAATATTATAATCCTTAAGTACCTTAAGTAGAAAAATACGATATCATTTTTCTGGGTCACGATCACTCAACATCAAAACAGAAACCATAATAAGGTTTTAGATCCAGTAGTAATTTTAACAAAGTACAAAACAGCAATTTTGCATTCAAAACTCGAAAGAGTTTGGGCAGACTTATTTATTAACAATTCACGGCAACTTTGGTGGAGCGCTTATAACATTTTTAAAGACAAACCGCTGTAAATATAGATTTTGTAAAAGTAGTCGGATGTTCATGGGAATATTTCCCTCCCTTTTAGAAATTCAAATAAGGTACATACATTAAATTTTGTGTTCACTTTGAATGTTTTCTATACCGTCAGAGTGTAATTACAGCTTGAATGCGTTTTTCTGCAACGTTTTATATAGATCTTTTATATCCTAACATCAATATTAAAAGTTTCTGTATTTTTGCAAATAATATACACTAATGAATATGAACATTGTCAGTACCTTAACTTACTTATAATAATCTTGAGGGAAGGAGACGGACCTCTTCATCTTGTCTTACGAAAATAATGTGTTATGAAAATGTATTTAAACTGTATATAATATTGGTGGTCACTGGTCACTAAAATATGTTTTAATATTATAATACTCTGTACTAGGACTCTCTGTTCAGATATTCCATTTCAATATCAGTATAAATATTTAAAAATAACTTATTTTACGTCCAGTATTAATTTATAAATTTACATTTATATTCATTTAAAATGAAGTTTAATTGATTTGTTTAAAATAAAATGAATTTTAAATAAACTTTGATTAAGTTTCGAGGAAAACGGTTAGTCAAATTTGACAGATGTAATCTTTTTCTATCAATTTA